ATATGTGTACAAACGAGACATTGCCATCAATGCTGGACTTGTGTGGAAACGAACCACAGACACCGGAGAAGGAGAACGCGGGCTCTCGCAGGGCCTCGGGGAGCAGGGAGCCCAGAGGGCGAGAGGGGAGAGGTCAGGGGCGCTCACACAGCAATGAGCAAGACAATGTGACAGCCGCTGTCGACCTTCTAGATCAACGCGGGCTCTCGCAGGGCCTCGGGGAGCAGGGTGCCCCGAGGGCGAGCGGGCAGAAGTCAGGGTTGCCCACGCAGCAGTGAGCGTTTTTCTCGATGCGACACTCTCGACCTTCTAGTTCAAAGCGGGCTCTCGCAGGGCCTCGGGGAGCAGGGGGCCCAGAGGGCGCGGCGGGAGAGGTCAGGGGCGCGCGCGCAGCAGTGAGCAAGACAATGCGATAGCCACCCTCGACCTTCTAGCTCAACGCGGGCTCTCGCAGGGCCTCGGGGGGCAGGGGCCCCCGAGGGCGAGGGGGGAGAGGTCAGGGGCGCTCACGCAGCAGTGAGCGCCTCACTCTTCTCCAAGATGGAGCAATATCTGTTTTGGCTGTTTTTCTCGTGTGTCCAACCAACTCTTGGAAGACATCCTGCAAACGGAAGAAGAGCGCACTGAGGCGATGCGTGCGACGCGGAGAGCGGGCTAAACCTGCAGACTGAGAAGCACCGCAGAAACCCGCAGGCTAAGAAGCACCGCGGCCACACAGCCCTACTACTGCTGCAACTAGCATTACAAGCGCGCAGGCTGAGAAACACAGCGGGCACGCGGGCTCAGAATGTTCACCCCTCCCGCTCGTCTTGCAGGAAGTCGCGCCAATCCGGCGGCTGCCAACTATCGACGATGCGCCGGGGCCCGCCGCCCGTGCTGCCGCCGATGCCCAGGTAGCCCCCTCGCGCGGAGCGCAGGCGGCCATGTCCTGCCGCCAGAATCGCCTCGTTCCGGTTGGATCCGCCACCGCGCCCCCTGGCACGTTGAGGCGTGCTAGAATGCCAAGACAGCCCAAGAGAGCCCCAAGACGGCCCCAAAAAGGGGCCCAAGAGGGGGGGCACGAACCGAAAATTCGAGCCCCCAAGAGGCCTCCCGCGATATCCTCGCGATCAGCATCATCATCATCATCATCATCATCGTCATCATCATCACCATCATCATTATCACCAGCACCATCATCATCATCACCATCATCATCACCATCGTCATCACAATCATCATCATCATCATAACCACCATCATCACCAGCAGCATCAGCATCAGCATCCGCATCATCATCATCATCATCGATGTCATGCTGTTCATCCCTCGCGAGTGCGGCCTCCAGTGCCCCCTCGAACGAGAACCGCCGAGCATGCTGGAGTGGCACGGTGGCGGGACTTGCCGCAGGCAGCTGGAGAGCAACTCGCCGCTCTCCCACTGGCGCAGCACGTCCAACTGCCTGCGCGTGAAAGTGTGCGCCTCCTGGCCGTGACTGGCAGGCTGAGCAGCACCGCGACGCTGGGGCTCTTGCCGATGGCGGGCGGGCCGTTGACCCTCGTTGTAGCGCGCGATGGCTTCAGCTTTGTTGCGGCGGAGTCGGCGGCGCTGTTCCTGGGAGACTTCGTCGCGAGAGGGTGGCTCTGCGGCTTCATCGCTGGGCTCGACGTGCAAGGCTCGGCGGAGCATGTCAACATCCCAGCGGCCGGAGAAGGCCAGCACCTCCCAGATCTGCTTGGCGCCGCAAGCGCGCTGCAGATGCCGGCGCCATCGCTTGCGCCGCTGGTCCTTGAGGAATTTGTTGAGGCCCCCTTTGCCTGTCCCTTGGGCCCTGCTTCCTTTGCTCGCAGGCTGAGGAGCACTGCGAAAACCCTCTGGTGAAGTCTTGCCTTTCGCTTTCCCCTACTCGGCATCTCGCTCCTGCAGCGCAAGCTGATGGTCGGAGTGCTCGTACTTTTCTCGAGCACCTTTTACTAGCCCCCTGCGCTCAGCCTCGGCGAGGACGCGGCGCAAGTCGGCGATGTTCTTGCTCTGCAGAAACTCATGGCGAAACCGGAGGACAGACATGATGGCTCGAGCTGTCTCCTCCTGCGACGCGAAGGCGGTGTCGCAGCCTGAGCCAGGCTGAGGGGCACCAGCTGAATCTCCGTCCGCAGGCTGCGCGGACTTCGTCCTATTGAAGAGCAAAGCGCTCAGGTGGTGCAGAAGTTTTGGGTCGTAATGCCCGTCATACCTTTGGCCCCAATACTCTCGCATCTCACTGTGCAGGTCCTGCGCGCGCCGGCTAACCTCACCCTTGGTCTCGTCGCAGGTCTGGCCGTCGGCCTCGGACGCCGCCGCCTCCGACTCGTCGGTATCAGATAACGAGATCTGGACAATCTTCCGTTTCTTGTCCCCCACAAGCTGAGAAGCACCGGGGGGGGGTGCTGACGGCCGCGACAGCATCGTGCGAGTCGTTGCGCATGCCACGGCCCATGTGCGACGCGCCAACAGCGACGGGCCTGAAACGCGCGACGGCTCCACCGACCGCCACGTTGTCGCCGATGCGGTCTGCGGGCGATGCGAAGACCTCCCACAGCGCCTCGTCCTCAGCGCGGCGCTGCAAAACTTCGCGCGCCCGCTGGGAATTCAGGTTGTTGTCGCCGACCATGATGCGCGCGACCGGCGCGTCCAGCTCCGGCGCCTCGAGGCCGCCCAAGTGGGCGCGGAGAAGCCTCGCTGCAATCTGTCGCGCGACAATGCTGGGAGGCCGGCCACCACAAACGATGTGCATATTGCCGGCGGCCACGCGCGCTCTGCCATGGCCGCCCGTCTGCGCATTGAACCGTGCAACTGCAGCGTCCACCTGTCGTCCGATGGGGACGTTGTAGATCTGTGCGTCGCCGCGCAGGAGCACAGCGGCAGGCTGAGAAGCGCCGCCGAAGCCCCGCGAGCTCAAGTAGTTGTCGACCTCGGCGAAGCGAACGCTGTCGCCGAACGGCTTCTTCAGGATGTCTTCCACGTGGATTTTTGCTTTGCTGAGGCCCTGGCGAAACGCGCCGACTTCGCACGCAAACAAGAGGTCAACATCAGCGTCCTCGACGATCGTGGCGCACACCCGCCCAAAGCTGGCGCAGTGGGTGCTGGACTTCTCCCCGGACATCGCTGGCTGCTCGAACCCGAAGTTAAAGGAGGCGACCGTGAAATACTCAGGCTGAGGAGCAGCGCGAGCAGGCGCGGCCGCAGACGCGCCTCGGTCTTCCCCCGCAGGCTGAGAAGCACCGCGGGAGGCCGAGGATGCGGCCGAGTATCGCGGCGTGGGGAGGGCCATTGCAATGTGGACCGCGCAGGAAAAGCACGCTCTGGCAATGTGGACCGCGCTGGAGGCACGGTCTGAACCAAGGACGGCTATCATAAGCAGGGGGAGAATGGGAGGCTTCGAAGGACTCAGTGCTTTCGTTAGCTGCATCCCCAAACGAGACTCTGCCATCAATAGAGGAAACCCCAAGCGAAACACTTGTAACAATGGATGTATCTCCGAACGAGACACTGCTATCAATGGATGTAGTTTGGAACGGCTCACTGTTTTCTCCACACGAGACATCGCTATCGATGGCTGTATCCGAAAACGAGACACTGCTATCAACGGATGTAGCTTCGTGTTTGCAAGCTAGACACTGGTATCAATAGTGGCTGTGTCTGCAAACGAGACACTGCTAACCATGGTGAATGTGTCTGAAAACGAGACGCTGCTATGAATTATAAATCCGTCTACCAGCGGGCAGGCTGAGCAGCACCACCAAAATGTGGCCCGGGAATGACGCTCTGGGAACTCGAAAATCACGAAAAGGCCTAGAGTTGGCTCCGGGCATTCAATGGCCCGGGAATGGCGTTCTAGGAACTCGAAGAGCACGAAGTGGCCTACAGTTGGCTCCGGGCATTCAGAACGTGGCCGGGGGATAAAGTTCTGGGAATTCGAAAACCACGAAGTGGCCTACACGTGGCTCCGGGCATTCAATGCATGCCCAGGAATGGAGTTCCGGGACTTCGAAGGCCACGAAGTGTGTAACTGTTTGCTTTAAACGACTTCCGCGGATCTTCCCCGGCACCCGCCCAGACCCTCCTGGGGAGTCAAGATGCTCTCTCTTGACCCTACTAGAAGCCTATCAGTCTTCGCTGTTAAGTAACATCGAATCCATGAAGGCTGATGGGATGGCATGTGCTCAAACGGCATACCAAAATACCGCACGCTTTGCAAGCCGATGAAAGAGAGAATAACACAGCAAGCGGGTAGCAGGGGATAAGACGCGGACATCGGGCAAGCAAAATGTGGTACAGGAGTGGTGTTCTGGGAACACGAAAAACACGAAGTGGCCTACAAGTGGCTCCGGGCATTCAAAATATGGCCCGGGAGTGGTGTTCCGGGAAACACGAAGAACACAAAGCGGCCGACAGTTGGCTCTGGGCATTCAAAATGTGACCCGGGAGTGACTTTCTGGGAACACGAAGAACACGAAATGGCCTAGAGTTGGCTCCGGGCCTTCAAAATCATGCCCAGGAATGGGGTTCTGGGACCTCGAAGACCACGAAGTGTGTAACTGTTTGCTTGAATCGACTTCCGCGGCTTCTCCCCGGATCCTGCCCGGACCCCCCTGGGGCGTCGAGTACTCTCTTTTCACCCCACTAGAAACCTATCAGTCTTCGCTGTTAAGTAAAAATGGCCAGGCGAGCTTCGGGAGATGCAAAGACTTGCAGAGGTGCTGGCTCAAGGTATCAAACTTGCCTTCAACATAACTTGCAGGGCAATCGAACGAAGCCATTACTGTATCGGCCGTGCACGGCTTGTGCAAGAGAGTATTGATGACTTTGTCGTCTTTGCTGATATCTGGAGGCATCAGCCCTCTCACGACATCAAACGGACCAGCACTCGACATAGCACGAATAGGACAAGCGGGAGCATGCACACCTTCAGGGGGCTCCGAACCATCACCATCATCCTCGCTGTCCTCGCTTCTTGCGAGGCGGAGACGCCGCCAACAAAATCAAAACCTCCAGCGCTCCCACAAGCCGTAACAAAACCACCACCACCTGGAAAAGCTGAAGGGGCCCTGGGACACAAATAAATAGACGCAAATAATAGGATTCCCCATCGTGTCCCATATTTTGTGGGTTGTTGTTTCTCCCCCAACTTCCAATATTTTCATATATTTTCCGGGGGATCGACGATTACTTGTGTCTGTATGTTTCCTTCCCTCCTGAAAATTCCGAGGGGCAAGCACGGATACCTCCATCCTCACGGGGGCGAGCACGAGCCTCAGCAACCGCTTCGCGTGCGCCCGCGACTCCATGAACGCCAGCAGCTCCACAGACGCCGGCAGCTCCCCGGTCTTCCACGGCTCCACGAGCGTCAGCAACTCCGGGGGTGGAGAGCAGCCCCAGCACTTTCACGAACACGAGCGGCAGCATAAGGACGACCAGCAGGGCCTCGGAGAGCAGCGCGGGCATCTTGAGCACCGCAGCCGACGGGAAGGCCACAAGCCTCCGCAGGCCAGAAAGATCGGCAGCACCTCGAACGTCTTCACGAAGAATGCGATTGCTTCTTTTTTGGGTTATTTATATTTTCCGCGAAGAATGCGATTGCCAGCAGCTCCACGAGCGTCGGCACCTCCACGAGCTTCCACGGCTCCACGAACGCCAAGAGGATCCACGGCCGTCACGAGCACCGCGGAGGAGGGGGAGCGGCCCCAGCACCTCCGCGAAGACGAGCAGCAAGCTTGATCAACGATACCAGCACTGTCTCGGAGTGCAGCGCGGTCACCTGGAGGACCGCCAGCAGCAGAAAAGGCCACACACCGCCACAAGAATACCAGCAGCTTCTCGTATAAGTCTTCACGAACATCGCGAGCAGCAGCAGCTCCACAAGCGTCAGCAGCTCCACGAGCTCCAGGGCTCCACGAGCGTCAGGGACTTCGCGATCGTCGGCAGCACCACGGGGAGGGAGAGCAGCCCCAGCACCTCCACGAAAACAAGCAGCTGCGTCAGGAAGGCCAGGTCAATCTCGGAGAGCATCGCGCACAACCTGAGCACCTCCAGCGACAGGGACGCCACCAAACCCCGCCAGGCCATCAAGATCAGCAACACCTCGAACGCTTTCACGCAGAACTCCGCCTCCAGGATCGCCATCACCGCTATGATTCAGGATATCCAGAAGCATGCAGAGCACGAACACGCGCAGGAAAAACATCAAAATTGTTTAGCCAAGATTCCAGCTGACTTTTCATGCTGAACGTGATATGTGATAACGAACCCTCTGATGACCGATGGCCATGATCAACAACGCACGCATCACCAAAAGACTGCAACATCGATTGCGCCACCAAGGTCGGTAACATGTTGAGCGCAACCACTTCATCACCGAGAGGAAGAAAGACAGAATGAACAAGCACGCGATCTCGATGGGTATTTACCCGCACCCCGCACCTTCTACCAAGAACAAGTTGTTCAAACATCCATGAAAGGCGAGCTGCGCGGACCATCAAAGGCAGAGAATCCGAGTGGCAAGAACACTGGTGCGGAGGAGCGAAACGGCGGGGCGGCGCAAGTGCACCGCAATGGCCCCTGACTCAGCAAACGCACGAGCCACGATGGCCCTGATGATGATGATGATGATGATGATGATGATGATGATGATGATGATGATGATGATGATGATGATGATGATGGGGAGGAGGAGGAGGAAGAAAAGGAGAAGGAGGAGGAAGAGAGGGTCGGGGGCGGGAAAACAGGTCAGGTCAGTCGTAGCAGTGGTAGCAGTCCGCAGTCTCGATGGCTTAGCAGGCACAGCGCTCACAAGCCCCAAGACTCCTCTTTTGGCTACGGTACTGGAGGAGGCGCGTCAGTAGTTCTGGCGCAGTGATGCGAGAAAAAAACACCGTCGGCAAAGGGTGAAGCTTTCAAATTGCGGTGAACGTCGGGTGCGGGAAAAAGAGGTCAGGTCAGGTCAGGCGTTTGGGGAACGGTGCCGATGATAGACACTCAGCCCTCTGCGGAGGACGCGGAGGGAGGGAAGAGGAGGCAGGGCACGCGCGAGGGGCCATGCCGACCAGCCACAATGGGTGGGGGGGGGCTACGCTCCTTCCCCCCCCTCCCGCCCCCCTGGTGGAAACCATGGTGTCGACGATCTCTCGAGCCGAGGGTGGACAGACCCCCATTCAGCAAAACACCCTCTTGTGAAAACGGTCTGGAATCCAAGCCATGCGGAAGCAAACGAGAAAGGTGACGGCTGCATCACCCTCCCGAGAAACCAAGAAGGGTACCCCCTGGGCGGATGCGCTGATCGACTTGGCAGGGGGGGGTTATCAATCCCCGAGAGAAGGGTCGCTGGGGGGCGACCTCTCCCAAAATACGCTCTGGCTGCGATTCTGGGGCAAATCCGGCCGTGGTGACGCGACGAGGGCCCCCCAGGAGGCCCAGAAAGGCGAACACGAGAAAACGGTGGCAGTATCGTCTCCCTCGCCCGAGTGCCGAAGCCGATGGGTCCCC